CAGTTAGTAAAAGTTTTTTATCTAAGGAAGCAGCAGATTGTGTTGAATCTTCACTTCATCACAGTCTCCCATCCTGAGCAAGAACAAAGGAGACAGTGGAAAGGAAAAACTATCTTTAAACATGAAGAAACCTCCAGCAGAAACAGGCTCAGGACGAGCGGTCATCTGCTTCGACCAGCTGGGTTTGAGAGGACAGGAAGTGAAAACAGACACAGAATGACAGGTCCAGGTGAACTTTCTATAGGAGGAAAGACAAAAAAAACATGTTAAGATATAAATAATTACAAATACAATCAGGTTGAGTAGAACAAGTAAAGACAGCAGAGAGAGGAAATGTGGTCAGTTTGTCCTCCAGCAGTCTAATCCTATAGAAGCATATCTAAGGCATAGCCAGGAAACCCAAGCTGACACTAACTATTGGATTTCTCAAAAAGGAAAGGCTTAAGTCCAGTCTTAAAACTGGACAATGTGTCAGTCTCAGACAGAAACTGGAAGTTGGTTCCACAAGAGAGGAGCCTGATAACTGAGAGCTCTGCCTCCCGTTCTACTGTTGGAAACTCTAGGAACCACAAGTAAACCTGCAGTCTGAGAGCAAAGTGTTCTGTTATGATAATATGGAACAATAAGATCTGTAATATAAGATGGAGCCAGGTTGTTGAGAGCTTTTTAGTAGATTAGACTAAGATTTTGAATTTGATTCAGAGTTTGACAGGGAGCCAATGGAGAGAAGCTAAAACTGGAGAGAGACGATCGCTCCTACTAACTCCAGTTAAGACTCTGGTAGCAGCATTTTGAATTAACGGAAGATTTAAAAGAGTTTTTGGACACCCAGATAACAAACAATTGCAATAGTCCACCGTAGAGGTGATCAATGTGTGGACTTTTTCACTTGTTCTAAACCAGCTGGACTGGACCAACTGAATAAACCAGCCTGAGAGTTGGTCCAGCTGAGACCCAGAGTGGGTAAAGATGGAAAGTCTGAGAAGAATAAGTTCATGCAGGCTTGTCATCATGTCCTTCAGATGTCTCTGTGTCTCATTTTGCTTCCAGCCTCTGAAATTAGCTAAACAACTCATTAATGTGCTACACGTGTCTGCCTTATCGGCTGTATTCTTTTCCTCTTGTTAAGCCAATTATTTCTGTGTTTTCCCCTCTCTGCCTTCGGTGTGTATCGGCGGCGGTGGCGGCTCCTGGAGGTTGCGGTGACCTTGCCGTAGTTGGCTTTGTCTCGCGCCGCCACTCCTCCATCACGTTAGCTCGTTAGCTAGTTATCAGTCGGACACAACGGGTTCCCTGAACCAAGCAGTGTTATTAGTCTGCCTGACAATGATACGCCGTCCCACTGAGACGTCCCCACAATCACACACGTCTGCACAGAAACCCTGAGCTCTGGGTATTGTCCACAGATCAGAGGCGTAGGTGAGTTGTTCTTTTTAATTAATCGTTTGTCCTTCAAACGGAGGAAAGTTTCAGTGTCTCAGATAATGAAGTCCCGGAGTCGAGCGGCGGCGCAGCTAGCAGCCACCTGCTGCCTTTGTAGCACTAATCTTTGTCTTGTAGGAGCGTCGTCCCCGAAGACGCCGCAGCAACGCCAGTCGAATGAGCAGAATGAGAAAACGCCTCAGAATCCCCACATGGTCTCTCCTCCTCCTCCCTCCTCCTCTTTTTATTCATCTTGTTTCACTCCAGTACTCTGCTTTATCGTTTTCCTCCTCATCCTCCTTCTCCTCCTCGTGTGTCTGATCTTCCTCTTTCCTCCCGAAGAGGAGCTTTAGTTGTGATCAAACTGAAAGGAGCGTTTGATTTGTGCTGCAGAAAACGACTTCCTGTACAAGTTCATTTGTTAGATTTTCACCTGGCAGACACAGCACCTCCTCATGTTGCTCCTTTCCTTCCTCCATTCTTCACTTTTCATTTCTTCTGTCCTTTTCTTTAGTCCTGCTTGTATAACCAATCACAGAAGGGCGATAATGTTTTTAATGAGTCTTTCAAGCTCAAACAATCCCCACTATGTTTGATCCAACTTGTCATGGACCAGTCACCTCAACTTTGTTCCTGGAGTCGGAGCCTTCAGCATCAAAACGTGTTTAACATAAATAAAAATCATCTTTACCATCAAATGTTTCTCTAAAATATGGGGTGCCATTTGTAAAGTTACACAGTCAAAATTTAACAGCAATATTTTTTGTTTATTTGCCTTTCATAAGAAAAAAGTGTGTGTGTGTGTGGGGGGGGGGGGGGGGGGCAGTCATATTTTCACCATGTTCATACATTTATAAATGTCATAGTTTGTAAACTAAATATTTAGGTGTAAATTAAATATTTAATTTACAAGCTAATTTATTTTCAAAACTAAACATTTGATTTCCAAACTAAATATTTACTGTCCAAGCTAAATATTTAATTTCCAAACTAAGCAATTAATTTCCAAACTAAAGATTTAATTTCCAAAGTAAATATTTAATTTGCTAACTAAACCTATGTTGTCATTTTCACCACTTTATTGTCTGTCCAAACAGGTCTCACTTGTAAATGAGTCTTGGAGGCTCACTGTGATTTATCTGTATAAATAAAGGTTGAATGAAAAAATAATAACTCTGATCCAAATATTTAACTTACAAACTAAGTATTTAGGAGCGCGAACCTAAATATTTAGCTTGCAAGTTAAATATTTAGATCAGAGTTGAATATTTAGTTAAATTGTTTAGTTTGGAAATTAAATATTTGGCTTGGACAATAAATATTTAGTTTGTAAATTAAATGTTTAGTTTTGAAAATAAATCTTTAGCTTGGAAATTAAACATTTAATTTACACCTAAATATTTAGTTTGCTAACTAAATATTTAACTTGCAAGTTAAGTATTTAGTTTGTAAACTAAATATTTATCTTGTAAATCAAACGTTTAGTTGGGCACTATGATATTTATAAATGTATGAATAGCATGGTGAAAATATGACTTGGAAATAAAGTGCTTTTTTTCTTATTAAAGGCTAAATAAACCAAAATACTGCAGTTAATTTTTGACTGTGTAACTTTACAAACGGCACCCCATACTAAAATGTAGCTGAGTTTGTTTCCTAACGTAGAAAGCGTCCAGCAGAACGTGACTCTGATTTTAAGAAGGTTTTGTGGAAACACTTTAACACGTTTGTTGTTGGTGTCAGACATGATTTAAATGTTGCAACTGTTTCTGTAAAGTCTTCTCTCTGTGGTAACAAATATTAAAGTGTTAAAACGTGTCGGCTCTGGATACAACGCTCTGGTCCGTTGCGACAAATCAAATCTGATCCCTTGAGACGCTTTTAGTTAAAACTCTGGGATGAAAGACAGCGGGCGATATGCATTCCTTCAAGGAAGGCCGGACCTTTGTGTGTCCCTCTTTTTAAACCCATTAGTTCGTCTTTGATCAGTTTTTTAATTTGCCGCATGTAGATTTTATTTCTCCTCCCTCCGTCTTTTCTCCCTTTATTTCCTCTCCTCTTTCACTCCGCTCGTTTCTGTCTCAAACCCCTTCTCTCTTTTTTCAAGGACATTTTATTATAAAGGAGGAATTTGCATATTAATTCATTTCTTTCAATTTTTCAGATTAGAAGTTGTCAACATGTATCAGCACTGATCAAACCACTGCATCCACAGAGACCGTGTGTGTGCGCGCGTGTTTAAGGCAGCATTGTGTTGAGTGTACTGACCCCTGCTGGTCAGGTTTGAAAAAACAGCTAAAATAAAAAAATCTGATGAAGAACTTCAGACTTTGACCGTACCTGGTTTCATCCATCCATCCATCCATCATTTGTCCATCCATATGTCATCCATCCATCCATCATCCATCCATCCATCATTTGTCCATCCATATGTCATTCATCCGTCCGTCATCCGTCCATCCATCCATTGTCCATCTGTCATCCATCCATCCATCCTTCACCCACCCATCATCCATCTTCCATCCATCCATTATTGGTCCATCTATTTGTCAGTCATCCATCCGTCATTCATCCATCCATCATCTGTCCATTCATCCATCCATCCATCCATCATCTGTCCATCCATCGTTCGTCCATCCATTTGTCATTCATCCATCTGTCATTCATCCATCATCTGTCCATCCATCCATTGTCCATTTGTCATCCA